TTGTGGCGCGGGGCCCTCACAAGGTGCCGGGGGGGGGGGGGGACTGGTACTCCACAGTTTGGATCACAGCCCTGAGTCGAGCCACTGGGCTTCAAATAGTGGGGCCACTGCTGATTAACCATCTGGACAGCCTCAAAAGGACAAAACTAACCTCCTTGTGCTTAATGTTCTCATCTGTAAAATGGGGAGAACAGAACTTCTTACCTTGTGGGGTTGCACTAGATGTTACCCAGGGTCACCAAGGTCCGGACTCTAAGCCACAGCCAGCTCCAGGGTCAGTGTCCCTAACAGGCGTCCCGGGCTGTGGGTTCTGAACGTGTCATAGCGGGTATGCCCATGACTGTAGGGTTTAATTGCAGGTGTGAGGCCGGGCACGCTCAGGCGCTCTGGCTCAGCCTGCTGGGAGAGGGAGCGTGCTTTTTGGATGAGGAAGCCCTGGGCAGTGCTTCATAAACTGCTTCCAGGTGACCTCCCAGTAGGATGTGCATGTCAGGTCAGCTCACCGCACTCACGTGCAATTCAGCATGGAATTCCTGCAGCACCTAACTTGGGTAATGCATGAGGATATTTTCTATTATTTGATATTCATTAAAAATGCCCGTGGTTGTCTTCTAAGCAGATCTCCATCCTGTCCCTGGGTCTGAGGCTGCGGCTCAGAGCACAGTTTAGGAGGAGGCGGTGAGGTGAGCTGGGAGCGCCACCTCGGCATCCAGGACTTTCATATGGGCTCTGGTCCCTCCTCCTGGCTCATTTTCTGCCTCTGTTGGGAAACTCAGGTTTGGTTCCAGAACCGAAGGGCCAAATGGAGGAAAACGGAGAGAGGTGCCTCAGATCAGGACCCGGGAGCCAAGGAGCCCATGGCCGAGGTGACGCCACCCCCAGTGAGAAACATCAACTCCCCGCCCCCTGGGGACCAGGCCCGGAGCAAGAAGGAAGTGCTGGACACACCACAGAGGTGAGGCCATGGGTGGGCTTGGAGGCCGTGGGCAGCACCCAGACGCCGGGTGGGAACTTACCATGTTTTCGTTCCTTTGTCAGCCTGGGGCGAACTGTGGGGCCTGCGGGCCCTTTCTTCCCTTCCTGCTTGCCCGGGACCCTCCTGAACACTGCCACATACGCCCAGGCCTTGTCACATGTGGCCTCCCTGAAAGGTGAGTTTTAGCCTGGCCAGCTGCCTGGCGGCCGGCGGGGCTCGTGTGAACAGTGGCCATGGTCTGACCGCTGCGGCCTCAGCTGGTGCTGGGCTGACCTTGCACCTGAGGGGACAGCTCCCTGTTCCTGTCAGTCACAGCCAGGATCGCAGTGGCATTGTGTCCGCATGCATGGTCGTGTGTGCTTGCTCTGCGGCCTGAGCACACAGGTGAAGGTTGTTGAGCGTCTTTCTCCCATGGGGCTGCCCTGGAGGAGGCTGTTTCCAATGGACCCCGCACACTTACTGCTCCTTCCCTCTCCCTGGCAACAGTTTTGGGTGCTGGCCTGCAGCTTGTGGCAGTCGTTCCTGAGTCACGGGACTGCTCCTGTGCAGCTTGCCCCGCTCTTTTCTCTTCCCTCCTTCCTCCCTTCTCTCCTCTGCAACTCCCCTAAGCCCTCTGGCTGGGCTCCAAGCTCCTGGAGCTGCCCTGTGCCTGCCTCACTGGAAATGGGCTTTCTTTTGAGCTGCCTTTGCTGCCAGGGACTTGAGGTGTGCAGAGCTCTGCAGAGGTGGCAAATGTCACTGTGCTCGCCACGCTGGGGCGGGCCTTTGTGCGTCGTAGCGACCCTGCATGGGCAGACGCAGGGTCCCCATGAGGTGCCCTCCTGCGTGCAGTCAGGGATGACGGGCGTGCTGGTGTGTGGTGTTCAGATGCTTCTGGAGCCAGGAGGGGAAGAGCGAGGTGTGCGTGCATGGGCATCGTCTTCCTTTCACTGGACACAGAAGGGCCTCACTAGCTGTTCTTGAAAGACATTGTCCTCTTGGCCTATCTGTTGTTTTCCGACTTTTGAGAGAGGTGTGGGTAAAAGGCACACTCCCTGCTGTTAGAAACAGTTGGCACTGGCTCTGTGGCCTGGAAGCTAAGGGATCCAGATCCTATCTACAAACTATATGGTTCAAATCGTGGCCCGAGCAACTGGAAGAACCTGCAGGGCACCTGTGTATGTGTGCAAGATCCCAGCAGGACGGAGACGTGGAGGAGGAGGGATTGTATCTGGGTGTTTTCTCTCTCTCCTTCTGTCCCCGTCTCCTTTCTCTGTCTTTCTCTGGCAAGTGCATGTACCCTCTGGAAAATAAACAAATTCAAGAGAAGGAGTGATGTTGTTAAAGGAGTGGTGCTAAGGGGCATGCTCAGTCAGGCTGGGCTCAGGTGGGGACTGGCCCAAGGGCTCGGAGGACGGGGAGCTACTGCCTTCCAGGTGGGCTATGCTCTGGCCGGCTGGGGGTGGCTGCATGGAAACACAGACGCAGCATTTCTGGAACTGCAGAACCTTCAGAAGCTGGAGATCTGGACTTTTATTTGAAATATTCCTGCTTGTCTTTTCTGGCTGTTGAGTCAGGCCCCCCGACAGGTGGCTTGTAAGCAGAGGAGACTTACTGCTCGCAGTTCTAGAAATTACGAAATTAAGACCCGGGTGCCATCATGGTGGATTTGGTGAGGGTCTCTTCCAGGCTGCGGGTCGTGTCCTGGCGTGGCAGGGTAACAGCAAGTGAGGAGTCTGGCTTACTTTAAGGGCACCCACTCCATTCACGAGGGCCCCACCTCATGGCCTAATTCTTCCCAAAGGGCCTGCTTCCTGGTACTCTCCTGAGACCCCAACATGTGGATTTTAGGGGGACACAGACATTCAGGCCATAACAATTCACACCCTTTAAATGTCGCCCCCTAGTCTCTGGGCCGAACTGGCACATTTGGGGTTGGACAGCCAGAGACCGGCCATCCTGTGACCCCACTGGACTGTCAGGAGCTTGCCCTTTGCCCTTCCCAGCTGTGCTTGTGTTCACATACACCCCTCTCTGCAGGCCCTGCCCCCAGCAAGGCCCCCTCCCCGGCTCTCCGACACCTTCGTCCTGGGCCATCCATCTGGCCTCTCTGAGTGGGTGGCTTTTTCACCTCCGGCTTCCACATCCTGTAGGAAGGGGAGGGAGTGGGCAAGGATGGACGGCCTCTCTGGGTGCTGCCAGCAGTCTGCTGTGCATGGCGAGGAGGGGATCAGGAGGGGACCCACGGTGGTGCAGCCTGTGGGGGGAGCCGACTGCTCTATATGGCCCACGTTGATTCTAAAAGTGCCTGATGCAGTAACGGTGGCACTTCTGGAAGCCGGTGTGTGGGGCTGGGAGTCCCTGGGCCATCCAAGTCAGGGCGTTGGTGTGCCTCACTCCAATCCAGGGGACTAGCAGCCCTCGCAGGTGTCGGGGTAGTGTGGTCCTAGCACACAGTCAGCTTCTGAACCCCCCCAGGGCTCCGAGCTCTCATGGTCTGTGGGCCTTGCACTGAGTGGCCTGAGACCAGGGCGGCTCTCTGACTCTTGCAGCCCCATATCCTCTCTCACGCTGCCCTGAGCTGCAGAAAATTAAGGGCAGAGCCCACCAGGGCCTAAAGAGGAATGACCCCCAATTTCCTAGGACCTGGCCAGGAGCTCTGGGCTGTGACCCAGCCGCCCTCACCTGCCCTGCTGACCCGGTGTGGCCAGGTGGTCAGGTCCTGAGCCGCACTCTCCTCTCAGGCCTGAATTCCGCTTCCAGGGCTGCTGGCCAGCTAGGCCGAAGCCTCGGCTGGCTGGGAGGAGCACAGGCATGCCATTCCAGGTGGCACTGGCCCGGGCTCTTTGCAATGAGAGAATGGGGCTCGGGAGGGCAGGTGGCTTGTCTGCAGCTCGCTGGCTCGTGGGGTCTGTCCTCTGAGGTCCAGGCTCCTCTCCTAGCAGCCCGAGGTGGCCTCTCCCCAGACACTGCTAACCCATCTGCCTCTGGGTGAGCACCTCTGACTGCTGCACCTGGGGGACACCTGCTCTTCCCAGGCAGATGAGGACAGCTGTGAATTCAGTCCAGAGGGAATTCAGTCCTGCCAAGATCGAGATCCCTTTGAAATGTGAGCATGCCGGGGTGCAGAGACCTCCACAAGTGACTCCAGAGCCACATGACCAGGGAGTGGCAGACGGTTCACAGCAGGCCCCACTCCAGGGCACTTGCCAAAACCACTGTGCTGGCCGGCTGCGTGCTCAGTACAGGAGAAAGCCCCACAGCTGCCCACTTCCCAGGCCCCTGGCTCTCTCCAGTGGGCGCTTTCCTGGCTGAGGCTGCCCACTGCTTCACCCTGATGGGGCAGCCTGATGCCCACCTGAGGCCCAGCCCGAGGTGCCTGCAGTCTGATTTTCATCCCTTGGGGACAGCCCAGGCACACTGCAGCCTGGTGTGGTGGTTCTGCCTCAGTCAGGTGAGGGCAGAAGCTTCCTGGGTTCACCCTCTGCTCCACCAGCATCCTCCCAAGCTAGGGCCCTGCTCTGTGGCCAGCGAGGTCTTTGGTTGGGCCAGGGCGGTTAGGGTGTGACAGGCTCAGAGGGGCCACGCAGGGCAGGCGTGTGTAGGAAGGGGTCACAGCACAGGTCAGCTGGGCTGCTGCTATGGGAAGCCAGGGAAGGGTGGGAGCTGAGCAGAAGGTCAAGTCCCCTCCAGAGAGGTTGGCTGGCCGCACATCTGCATGCTGTGGGCAGTGCGGCCTAACCCAGAGTTCTTGGCGTGCTGGCCACCGCTCAGAATGGGGACTGGGATGCCTGCAATGTGTTCGTGGGCCACGCCCTTACCTTCCCAGGTGATCTAAGGAGCGAAGAGCAGGTCCAGGTGCCCACGGGCCCTTTCACAGACACTCCCCTGGGATGGGAGGTGTAGTCCCAGGAGCATTCTGGCCATGGCCACTGAGCTGCCGGGGCCCGCGTTGGTTGTGGGGTGTGGTGGTCACCCCACAGTGCTGTGGGCAGTGCTGGACACCATCTTCCTCTTCACTGGTGTCCTTGTCTGCCCCCTGCCCCCGTCCCTGCTCCTCTAGTGCCGATTGCTCAGGCCCTGAGACCATTTCAGGAAACTTGCCAAAGAATTTCCAGGTGGGACTGAATTCCAGCAGGACTGTTCCTAGGACGGATGAGGACCATGTGACTGGCGACAGCGGTGGACACTAGCTTGCGCGATCAACACGGGTCCCCCATTCTCGTTCCCAGCCACGGGCCCTGGTCCTACTCACCTTTAAAGGACCCAAGGGCCTATCTGGTTCTCCCACACGTCTCTCTGTCTCCGAATGTTCTTGCTGTGGAAATTCGCCCTGTCCTTGTAACCTCTGTTATTTCTGTCATTGGCCGTGTTGGGGCTCTGGTCGACGGTCCCTGGTGCTTGCTGTGGGGATGCGCTTTGGGCTGGTTGGAGGCCTCGTGCTCGTCAGGCGGGCCGGTGGGCTCCAGCTTAGGCTGTTTCACTACTGGCTGCTCCATGGGAGCCCCACCTTCGCAGGCAGGAGGCCCCTGCTCGGGCCAGGGAGAGTGTGCGTAGCCTTACTACATGTCCGGAGAAAAAGCCGTCGTGATGCAAGGAACTTTCCTGTGCTGTCTTAATGGCCAGCCTCATGCCCGCAATTCACGAATGCAGAAGAGGTTATTAATGGCCACAGAGGCACTTGGGTGTGTTCCGGGGAAGTGCTGGCCACGGGCTGGCGGGCGGCACGGCTGAAGAGCCGTGGTCAGTGAGGAGGAGGCAGCAGGCTGCCTTGCACTGGACGGGTGCTTCTAACCTGGGAATGGCAGAGCGGGCTGAGGTGGGACATGATCAGAGTGGCTGGCCAGCCTTCACAGCTCCCAGCGTTCACCCAAAGGCACAGCTCTGTCCTGCCCGGGGTGAGGCAGCTCCGCTGACCTTCCCAAATGGCAGGGTGTGGGGTTGGGGGGTTCAGCCTGCTGGACCAGGAGGCATGATCGGGCCCTCAGTCCCCTGCCAGGCCCAGGCGAGAATAGCAATGCAGTGATGGACTGTGGTCTAACCCTTTTACCTCCTTCCCCATCTTCTCCCAAGAGGTGTGATGGGCCCGGCGGGCCCAGGTGAGACCTGGGCTGGGAGGAGTCTGGAGGCAGACAGGCTATGCTGGGGCCCTGGCCCCTGCTCCCACTGAGGCCTGGAGGCTGTAAGGGCTGAGGC